GTGGGCGCGCCCCGGGGCCCGCCCCTGCGAGACCTCGGACCCCCGTGGGCGGCTGCGGCCGTGCTGGTGGAGTGTGGTACTGTGTGGGGCTCCGGAGTGGCCGTGGCGCCGCGCCTGGTGGTGACCTGCCGGCACGTGGCTCCCCGGGAAGCAACCAGGGTCCTGGTGCACTCGGCCACCCCCAAGTAAGGTCCAGGGCTGCCTCCCCTGACCAGGTGCCACCAGTGTGGAGGCCATGTCAGACAATCTTAAGTCCTGTAGAGACTGTTAGAGACCTCGGTTCCTTTTTGACAACCACTACCCCATGTGGGGATCTGGGCCTCCTGGTGGGCTGCAGTGGGACTTGATTAAACTGCTAGGCACAAGCAGCTCTTAGCATGGGAACCCATGGACTATAGACAGGAAGGACTGGGTGCCTTTGAACCCCTCACCTAGCCTGAAACTCTTTGGGCCACAAACATCAAACATCCTCTGTCTCTTAGCTTTGCAGTTTCAGCCCGGTTAAAGCCCTTTGGCCAGAGAACACTTACCCTAAGGGCTTCAGCCCGCTAAGACTAAGTGTAAGTGGTAATTGAAGGCCCTGAGGTGATGAGTTGGGCCTACCCGGTCAGAGCTACCTCAGAGCCTCACCAGGGCTGCCCTACCACCGGAAGATGGGGGTTTTAAAACGAAAGAGCTTGGGCCCGTGCAGATGGCTGTGTTCCGAACAGTCTGAGTAGCCCCAGAGTACAGCTAGGCAGGGACTTTACACGGTCACCTTAACTCCCTCTGTAGAGAGAGAGACACCTTTACCCTCTTTTCTCGCTCTGGCAATGGGCCAGTAGCCTTGGCTTCCTGGCATGGTTGTTTCCTCTGTAGCCCCAGGTACTTAGCTGAAGACAGAGCAGCACCTTAGTCCAGGCCTCTCTGGACTTCTGAGGTTAGCCTTGCATGCTGAGTCAGCCCAGCTTTCCCAGAGCCCCACAGGCAGCCAACTGAACAGCTGTGATTTCATAGTGAAAACCAGGGTTGCCGGTGCTACGCCCCAGATTCCTAACTCTCTCTTGCCTTGACTGCTGATTTTAAGGAACTCACGAGGTTTTCTGGGAGCAGCTACCCTGCAGAGTGGGTAGAAATAAGGTACCCGGTGTCTGGTCTACACAGTGAGTTCCAGGACAGCTAGGGCTATGTAGAGAGACCTCGTCTCCAAACAAACAAAACAAAAAGCACACACAGACACCCCCATGCGTGCCCATCAGTGAGGTAGCACCAAGTTCTGGTGGGTTTGCCCCGGCTCCTTATTATTTGCTCTGTGACCTTTTGGAAGGCTGCTCGTCCTCTCTGAGCCTCAGCTGCACCGTCTAAAGGGGACAAAACCAGTGCCTTGTTTGTCGGGTTAAGACTAGGTGAGATAATAGACTACAAACATCAACAAGGCCTGGTCACAGCACTCACTAGGTATCCGGTGCTTGTAATGGTAAGGTATAAGCCGTGTACAGAAGTGCACTACTGTTTGTAAAGCACATCTGGTTAAGGTTTCAGGCTGGCATATACACCAATATGTTCTGACTTTAGTCTATAACTTAAAAAAAAAAAGACAGTCCCATTGTAGACCAGGCTGGCCTGAAACTCACGGAGATCTGCCTGCCTCTGCCTCCCAGGTGCTGGGATTAAAGGTATGCGCCACCACAGCCAGCTCAGCCCATGAGTTTTATTGTCTTTCATATTGCTCTCTCCCCAGTGCTAAGGCATCAGAAAGGCTAGCTTGTCCCTTGTTTCCTGTGTCCCCAGGAATGTGGCAATCTGGGGACGCGTGGTGTTTGCCACTCAGGAGACCTCGCCATACGACATAGCAGTGATGAGCCTGGAAGAGGACCTGAACGGGGTTCCCACGCCTGTTCCCGCCGAGCACTTCCATGAAGGTAAAGGACAAAGGGTCCAGTGTGGTAGGGGACCAGGCTGGACCCCAGGCAGAGGTCAGTGTGGACGCTAACCATGCCAGACCGACCCAAGAGCTGGCTCCATTCCCCATTCCTGCTGAGCAAAGGAGTTGGGAGCTTTGGTGGAACTTTTGCATTCTTACGGTAGACTTCCCTGTGTATCAAGACACCCCAAGTGCCAAGCCAAGTGGACACCCTATTGAGGGCCTGCAGCCGTGTGGTACGGGGTGCTGGGTCTTGGCAGTTCCGGTGGCATAATCTGGGTGAAAGTCTGATCCGACTACATAAGTATAGATGTCTTCCTTTATATTTTGTTTTTTGAGACAGGTCTTAGGTAACCCAGCTGTCAGTAAACACCCCATATGGCCAAGGATAACCATGAACTTGTGATCCTCCTGCCTTTTCCTACTAAGTACTAGGATTACAAGTGTGTGCTGTCATGCCCTGTTTATGGGGTCCTGGGGATCCAACCCAGGGTTTGTGCATGGCAGGCAGGCACTCTACCAACCGAGTTCCATCTCCAGCCCCAAATATCTCATTTCATATAGTTACAAAGGAGATGAGTCCTCTGTGTTAGCAACTCTGCTCTGCCACAGGAGTCCATACACACACACACACACACACACATATACACACACACACACACACACACATACACACACATACACATATACACACACACACATACACACACATACACACACATATATACACATACACACACACACACACACACATACACACACACATATACACACATATACACACACACACACACACATACATACACATATACACACATACACACACACATACACACACACACACACACACACACACATACATACACATATACACACATACACACATACATACT